ACTATAGAGGAGCGTACGAATGCAATTGATGAATTTGTAAATTTCTCTCTCAAGACTGGGTCATTTGGAGATCAAGATTCGATTGTGCGTAGATATGATATTGAGCCTAGGAAATGGTGGGCATGTTATGGTTCGGGTGCTCCTTTACTTCAAAAGTTGGCTTTCAAAGTGCTCGGATAACCTAGTTATGCATCTTGTTCCGAGAGGAATTGGAGTACTTATTTCTGCGTTCATTCATTTAGAAAGAATAAGTTAAATCCTAAACGTGCGGAGGATTTGTTCTTCATTCATACCAATCTTCATCTTTTGTCTAGAAATATCACTCAATATTATGATGAGAAGACAAAAATGTGGGATTTGGGTGGAGATGATTTTGGCAATATAGAAGATGTAGAAGTTCTTGATATTGCTCAACTTTCATTGGATGAACCCGAATTGGAGGGTGTGATTATGTGGATACTGGGAATGTGAGGGATGGTGCTTATTGAATTTTATTATGTTTTTTATTTTTTTAATTAAGACTCGAATTAAGTATTTGAATGTTGAAATTTGTAAACGTTATCTTTTTGGATTTTAGATTTTGGATTGTTCAATGTTTGATTGTTTGTTGATTAATTAATTAGTTTTTTGTTTAAGTTTATAATGTTAAATTGTTAGTTGTTAAGGTGGCGACTATATGCAATCGGAAAATTTACTTAGGGCAAGACCAAATTCAATTTTATACCAAATTAAGTGTAGAAAGACTGCAATGACCTTAGTAAAATACAAATAAAATAAAACTTAATTCTATCAATTACTCTTGCAAGACCAAATTTAAAAAAAAAAAAAAAAAGAAAAAAAGAAAAAACACAATTGAAAAACGGGAGGGAAGAAAGAAGAGGACCACTTGCAGATTCGCCGCCTCGCCGTTGTCGTCGCCGATGAAGTCGACCATCGCCTTGTAAAATTTCGATACACTGGTGTCAAATTTTTCACTAAATATCGACAATAAGTTATTGTCGATTATTTGCATTTTTTTCGACATTTGGGTGTCGATATTTTGTTCAAAATTCGACTTCAATGTGTCGATTTTTAGCAATTAAAACAACACGATGGCGTCGGTTTTTTCAGAAACTGATAAATTCGACTCTAGAATGTCGTTTTTATAGCTAAATATCGACCTGTAAACGTCGAATATTTGTGTACGGACAATTATTTTCGAAAAACGTGAAAACGATCAGAAAGCTAAAAAAAAGTACAATGTTTCTTATCCCATTTTGTTCTTCGACCTTAGAATCATCCATATTGATGTCTTGTGTGTCCATAATGTCCTCATTTGCATGTTTTACTAAGATTAGGGGGTTTTGTTTGATGAGGGTTTTTGGAGAATATGAAAGAGTTTTTTTGGAGAAAATGTGTAGAATGATTGTGAAGAAGAAGAGGTTGGGTTTTGATGGTGAAGAAGAATGGTCATTTTTCATTTTTTTTTTATTTTTTTTTTGGACTTGCAATAGCAATTAAGCTTTTTTTGAATTAATAATATCAAAATTAATATTGGGGTTATAATTGTAATTTTTAGTCTTGCTCTAAATAAATTTATCTATATTTTTGGTCTTGCATGAAATAAGGTCTTGTATTTAGAAATTTTGATATTGCAAATAGGTACAACCAATTGTTAATTGTTAATTTCATGTGGTGTTTACCTGTAAATATATGATGAACGGTTCTTTACATTCATTTATATAGAGGATTTATATTCAAACATTTCCTAATTTAGGATCTCTTTATTTGTGTAATTACATTGATTGTGTAATTACTCTTATTAATTGACATGATTTCCTTATCTATTTAGGGAGCACATCTTTCAGATCTTCTTTTCCAACAGCTCTCATTCACCTCGTCACCTACCCCAATGATTTGCCTCTAGCATGTTCGGATGGGCCTCTAACACAACTGCAGGTTTATTAAAAGAAAAAAAAAATAATAAATAAATCAGCGAAAATGCTAAATGCAGGAGCGGAAATGTTGAATGCAGTTTGGCCGAAGATTGCATATAAGGGTAGTATAGTACTTTCGTCTCTCCAGGGGGTATGTCAAAGGATGATTTTGACTTGAGTTTATCCCTAATTTTTTTGTAGCTAGGGAGGGGGTATGTAAAATAAGCCCTATATGTTTTTATTAAAATACTCCAACACATATGGTGGTGTAATATCTACGCCCTCAAGACATCACTCCAAACCCTATTTCTTAATGACTGTCGGAGACACACCGGACACCGGATCTTGGACCGACGATGGTGAAATGATGAACGGAAAGAATGGATATGAGAGATAGCTTGGAAGAGAGTATAAAATTCTTTCATTGACGTTAAATCGTGCCCTTAATCGGTTCTTTACATTCATTTATATAGAGGATTTCTATTGAGACATTTCCTATTTTATAATGATCTCTTTATTTGTCTAATTACATTGATTGTTCAATTACTCTTATTAATTGACATGCTTTCCTTATCTATTTAGGGAACACATTCCAGGTCTTCTTTTCAAACGGCTGTCATTCACCTCGTCACTTATCTTAGGGCTGTGCGTTGGTTGGTTTGGTTAAAAACCAGCCATAAAACCAACCCAACCCATACAACCAACTTTGGTAAATATTGGAAATCGTTATCGACCCAATTTGCATGGGTTGGGTGATGGTTGAAAACCAATTTGGTGGGTTGGTTGGTGGTTTGGTTGATTGTCGTCCATCTAAATATTTTTTAACCTTTTTTAAATATTTTATTAGGTGTTGCATCGCTATATCTTTTATAAATTAAATGTGATTAGTTCAACAATATTCAAATAAAAGATTCAAAACATTACGCGCATATATATTGCAATTAAAGATAAATAGTTCAACGAATAATAATCGTCCAAATATTTAGGCTATATGTTTTAAAATTAAAATAGTTCAAATTAGATAATTAGGTTAGATTTATTATTTGTAGGATTTTGGTTAACATTAGACAATTTAATAAATGTGATATAAAATATAAATTTGAAATAACAAATATTAAACATTTTAATTAAAATTAATAAATAATAAATTAATAAATAAAGTTGGTTGGCCGATATTACCCAACTAACCAACTTTTTAGCATATTAGAAACCATTATCGACCCAACTATACATGGGTTGGTTGATATTATCGACCCTACTTAAATGGGTCGGTTGATGGTTGATTATCTATCATAAATTATGGGTCGAAAATGGGTTGGTTGGTGGTTAAAACCGATCCATGCGCAGCCTTAACTTATCTCATTGATTTGCCTCTAACATGTTCACATGGGCTCGCAGGCTTCTAAAAAAACTTTATTTTTAGGGGTTAATATGTTTAGGTCCCTCCTACCAATCTTAATTAGAACTAAATTACAACCTCAAACTATTTTTTTTAAATACACCCCTATTTTAAAATATAATATGACCCACATCCTTTTGTTTTTTTTAATTCCTAATTTGCCCTTATACCCTAAATATAACCTCTATTTTACGGTTTTTCAAACCAGATTTGTGTCTCTTTTTCAATTCTCTCTCTCTTTCTCTCGTTTTTCTACTTTTCTCTCGCTGCTTCCTCTCTCTTTATCTCTCTCTTTTATCTTTCTCTCTCTCAATTATGGTGGGATGGTTATGGAGACTATATTGTTAATTGACTGGTCACCGAGGCGTTTTTCAGTTCGGATCTTGATGTGGGCAGCGGTGGTTCTGGTTGCTGGTGGCGTCGGCGGTGGTTCTAGATGCAGGGGGCGGCGGCGGTGGTTCCGGATACTGGTGGCGGCGGTGGTGGTTCTAATTGTTGGTGGTGGCGGCACTCAGGGCTGGGGATAGTGTCGGTGGTGCTCGACTTTGGGGGTGGGGGGGTGGGGTGTGGTGGTAATGGCAACGTGGGTGGGGTTTGTGGCATCTTTAGCGACGTGGTGATGTTAGCGTCGCAGATCTAGGGTTTGGTGGAGGAGATCTACGGTTTGGTGGAGCGAATCTGAAAATTTTCGATTTCATGTCTATAGATGTCTATGAGTATCTATGGGTGTCTATGGTGTGTGACGGCTAGGGTTCAAAAGAAGATTAGGGTTTTAAGAATACTTGACTACGGATTACTACAGTTTTCTACAAATTACTATGGTTTCCTACGGATTTCTATAGAAGACTACGGCCGACAAAAATTAAAAAAAAAAAAAATCATAATTTTCAATATAATGTAGAAAAAAATTGGAAAAAATACGAAAATGCAAAAAAAAATTGTTCTACCAAAAAACATAATAACAAAAATGCTAGATGCGAAAATAAAAATGTTAAATGCAGAATGAAAAAATGATAAATACAGTTTAAATATTACTTGGTACATATTCTGTACTCTGTAGACTCTCAACTCACCAGGCCACAAAGTGCTGGCTACGGTTTAGCAAGGTTTTATCTATCCTACACCCGATGAAGATTATACCGGGTGATTTTTTACCGTTGATCTACACATACCAATGTGTGTGTGCTTGTGTGTATATGAATGGTAAAGATCTACTCGGTGTATTTCACCCGATGTAGGATCTCAAAAGCCGGTTTAGGAAATTAATTTTTGAAGTGGGCCCCACCCCATAAAAGTGTGACATTAAATTTGTCACATCTCTGCAATTGAGTGGGGATCCGAATTTGGAATTTTAACGGACCGTCCGTAATTGTTTTTGCTTTACTACATGTGAATCAAATTGGAGTAATCATCATGTACAAATTTTGACAAAAAAGTTAAATTACGGAATGAAAAGTCAAAGGAGGACTGAGTGACTCATTTATTTTTTGGGTTTGGGTGTCGGCGTAAATGGAAATGATTAGAGGAAAATGAAGTGGGTGAGATTCCATTCCGCGCCAATAAATATAAATTAGGATAAACACAACTAACTCACCATTCGGTACTTGCCATTTGTAAATTGTTCATACATACACCCACCCCGCAAAACCCGAAACCCGAAATCCGGATCAGATCTCCATACTGCAATGGAAGGACTTATGAAGGGATTGATGAATGTAGCATTGGATCACATTAATAATCAACGTGGCGGCGGTGGTGGTGGTGACGATGATCGTCGAGATGAAAGGGACTCTCAGCCAATTAGGGAAGAACAACCTAGATCCAGTTGGGCGCAGGTTGGTTAGCCTTAGCTACCGATCTTATTTTCTCTTATTTATTTATTTATTTATTTATTTATTTATTTATGATATAATTGATAATATAGAATTAGAATTAGAATTAGAATGAATCAAACGTATGATGATGTGCTATAAAATTGAACAGGTGGTGTCTGGTGAGGATGATGAAAACCATGGCGCCTCCAATTCCAACACCTGCAATTCTAACACTAACACACAGGTCTTTTTTTTTTTTTTTACTCTTCTTTCAATTGTTTGTTACATGAGTTTTCTGTTCACAAGCTTTATGTATGTGTGTGTGTGTGTGTGTGTGTGTGTGTGTGTGTGTTTAATGTATTACAGGAAGAACGTTACGGAAGAAATGATGACAGGAGGAAATCAGGAGGAGGATCCAGAACCCAAAAGGTCAACTCTTTTTTTTTTTTTTTTTTTAATGTAATCTGTTATATAGTGGTAATGTTAGTCCAACCGTAGCATCAATCTGGATAGTTTTATCTTCGGAATTAAAATCCGAAAATTGAAATTAGCTGTATTCTTTTACGTAAAGCAAATGCTTTTCGACTTTCAAAATTTCAAATATCAGTAGTAGTAGGAAGATTCGTGTTTGAAACGAAAATTGTGTGTTTGAAAATGATTATTATAAGTTGTATTTCTAATGAAAATGGGGTGAGAGAAATGATTTTTCTTAGTTTAAAGCAAAATATTAATATAAAAAGGTGTGGTGTACGTGGGGGTGAATTACAAATTGCAGGAGGAGGGAGATGAAAACAGTACTGATGGTTGGGAGACTGTGCAGCAGAAGAAGAAGAAGCCTTCCAAACAGCATCACAAGGTCTCACTACATTTTCTCTTTTGTGTTTCATATATATAGTTCTCGCTTTCTTTAATTGAATCGAACCATTTCATTTCTTTGTTGAAGTTCCTTCGTAATCATAATTCGCATCCAAACTGGATAGTATTTGTTATTATTTTTTCTACACACCGATATATTCAGTGTATTTCATTGATTTGTGTGCCAAGAATTTTTTGATTGAACTTTTTATCCAAGTTAGAATTGAAAGGTCTACACTTTTATCGACAGCTCCCGCTCCCTTGATGGAGAAAAAGCATGTCATTCTATACAGAATTCTAGAAATATAACATGCCTTCAAATGGTGCAGCTTTTGTAAAGTTTTATTGCTGTTAAATTCATTTACATCACATTTCTTCGTGCATCCACTTTGTTATGTTTGAGGAAGTAATTGAAATTGTTATTTCTTGATTGAGCATAATTCCGCGTTATTATCGAAATTTAAACTTGTCGTAACGATTTCTGTGCAGGTGATTAAGGATAACTGGAACAATTACAAGCGCCCCGCAAGCGAGCAAGGTTACTCAGGCGAATCTGACTGTGGTGCTGACGTGGAGCCCTCGGAAGAAGAGCTCTCTGATCTTTCAAAGGCTCTTAACAAACTGTGGGATCTCGATTTAAACCGTTTAGTACCCGGGAAACATTACGAGATCGATTGCGGTGAAGGGAAGAAGGTTTACCAGAAGCAAGACATGGCTGAAGGGGGTTTATTTTCTTGGCTGAGCGAAGAGGTGTTTACGAGGCCTACATACTCGCGTTTCTGTTCGCTTCTCGATAACTACAACCCGCACGAGGGTCTTAAAGAAGTAGTGACAAACGAAGAGATACAAGAGCAAGCGGCGTTTATCGAAGAGATAAGCAGAAGTGCGCCGATTAAGTACCTTTACAAGTATCTCTCCGCAAAGGGCGTCGCATCCGGTAGTTTCCAAGACTTCAAGAGAATGATGACGAGTCTCTGGTTCGACCTTTACGGACGAGGCGGCACTTCCGGTTCTTCTTCTGCTTTCGAACACGTCTTTGTCGGAGAAATCAAACAGCGCGGGGAGCAACAAGTCTCCGGATTCCATAACTGGATTCAGGTGCTTTGTCCGAAAAAGACTATTTTACCCTCCTCCGTTGTTTGTCTCGTAATGTACGCCCGTATGTTATTTGAATCGTAATTTGTGAATTTTTGTTTTGCAGTTCTATCTGGAAGAGTCGAAGGAGAGGGTGGACTATCAAGGTTATATTTTTCCTCGGAGGCGTGGCCAAGTGGTAAAGTGATTTTTCATTTCAATATAGCATATAGTAGAACCTTGATAAATTAATAACCTCGTTTAAATAATAATTTCTTCCAGTCCCTGAGTTGGTAAAAATGTATTAAATTATTAACTCGATAATTTAATATTTCACTAAATTAATAGGATTTTACTAGTCCCAACTGTATTAATTTATAGAGGTTTAACTAATTTATAGAGGTTTACCTGTACAATACAATAGTTTGTTTATCAAATGTATGTATTAATTTATTTACGTGTATGGTATTATTAATGCAGCCTGATGCAGAAACACAGTTGCTAACAATACAATTTGAATGGAATGGGGTTCTAAAGTCGGTGTCGAGCACGTTGGTTGGAGTGAGCCCGGAGTTTGAGATAGCAATATACACACTGTGCTTCTATTTGGGGGGAGAAGATAACTATGTCGAACTCGGTCCGTACCCGGTCAATATCAAGTGCTATCGTCTTGGCAACAAAATTGGATCTGCTTTTCCGATTGCCGACTCGTAATCCATGCAATCTAATCTCTCTCTCTTAACCATTAAATTATTATGCAAGTTCTGATGAGAACCTCTTTTATAGCAAATTCGTGTTAAGTTTAAATATGTATTCATTGTATCTTCTTATGTAAACTGATGTTATGCAACGGTTCGGTTGAATTGAGTGTGTGAATTGTTTAAGACAAAGTGACATTCCTGGCTGGGATACCATCTTAATAGGACACTATACAAAAAAACAATTTTCTTTTTTTTTTCTTTTTTTTTTTTTTTTTTTAAAGATAAAATAGCATTTCCCCTGTTGCATTACTATACTGTGAAATTTATAAGCTGTCTTTGTTATTTGATTTAAGTATATAAAAAAAAAAGTTCAGCCTACCCACTAATATAATTACATTTAAGTTGAATTTGAAAGCAAAGAATGATTTGAAAGCGACGTAGCACGAAAACTTCGACTTCTTAACGTATTCGTGTTTCGGACATGTTTTGCTTCCGACACTTGAGAGTGTACACATGTAGGACACCTTACGGTTCGTTTTGTAATTTTTGAAAAAGTCAAAAACATGTTTAAATAACAGATTTCTAAATATATTTTGTAGTTTCCAATTCCATGATTATTTACACGATTTATTGGTCAATTCTAAATTGTTTTCTTAATTATCAATCGCAGATTGATAATTGATAATAATATTTATTTTGAATACCGAAATATATGTATATATAAATAAAAACATATATATTGTTGTAAATAATATGGAAAAGTGGGTCTTTCTATGCTAACAGATGAGACTATAGATTCTCAACTTCTCACTACCCCATTATCCCCAAACTTTGTAGTGGTTATAGTTCCTATGTAATTCATTTGTAACTTTCGGTGGATTGCACCGATATAAATGAAAATCTCATCTCACCTAAATACCCACAATTATATATGTACAATTATCTCTCATGTTGTTTTTCTGTATTCTCTCCTCTTTTTCTATTATTATTTACTTTCATTTCACATACGTTATGTGATGTATTTGATTTCATGCAACCATTGCATCGCATGGTTTGCCTTAGGCCGACCTCTACTATGCGCAACGTAGTGCTGAAAGTCGGATGTAATGAATCAGAACTAGCCTCATCGGAAAATTTTCATATTTTTTTTAAATTCCAATTCCAACTTCAGTACTTTCGGAAATTGCGGAATTTCAAAAAGTTTCAGAAATCACATAAATTTTAATATTTAAAAACCTAGCGGAAATTTTTCAAATCTTTTTTATAGTTTTGGAAAATTTTAAGAAAATTCAGTTTTATAAAAGTGTATGTTTTTTGTACAATAAATAACAAACATAAGAAACTACTATGTTTGGTAAGATTTTTCACACTTTCCTTAAAATGAAAATTATCTTTGTACAATATTTTCAAAAAAAATTCTAAAAAAAATTCAAATGTTTCTATCTCTAACAAACATGATTTGACCGCTCGGTGACAATTGTCTTCGGTAAAATACAAACTAAAATCAATTTATGTTTCAATTTTTTCTTCCAAAATACTGTTTCCAACACATTTCAAACATGATTTGACTTGCAATAGTACAAATTGTCGCCTCTCAAAACACAAACAAACTTTATTTAATTTTCAAAATCTTCTCCCAAACCATCTTTCTTCATAATAAAATAGAAATGGAAGCTCAAAAGCTTACCAAACATAACCCAAATTTAGCATTTCAATTTATTATTTTTTTTGTAGGTGACGTGATCCATAAAGTACAATAGAATGAATTTAGCATGGGGAATACGATGCTACACCCGGTGATTTTCACCGGGTGGCTCTTTTCTTGACATGTTTCCTTTTTTATTTATTTTATAATTATATTTCTAAAACCCATTGGGGCATAATTGAACCCGTAGTGAATCTTATTAATCAGGGTGCCTAGTTATATTCACCAAGTATAGCATATAATTTTCCATTTAGCATTGCTAAATTTATTATTTATTTACTTTTTAAAACCGAATTCGTTGCGTAAAGCTTATCCCGAGTGCTTTTCTTCTAAAATGTAGAATTTAATCTTGTGTTACATATATAATTAATTATATACGGCCCGGATATAGTTACAATAGTAGCTTGTAGTTGTTGATAATGGCCTCATATTCCAATGGCCTTGTTCTATTGTAAAATACCATCTCAAATACAATTAAATTTTTATAAATTAACAGAGTCAGAACTAATAAAATTCTATTAATTTAGCGAAATATTTAATTATCGAATCAATAATTTAGTACATTTTCACCAAGTTAACAACCGAAAATAATTATTATTTAAGCGAGATTTACTGTAACTATTGGTAGAACTATACTGTATGTATATATTCCTAGGAGTTTTAATGAAATGAAAATTCAAGTACTTAAAAATATCCAAGAGTCATCATGAAAAGCAAGCTGATGAGAATGATGATGTGGACAATGGCATTTTTTGAACAGATCTTTGTGTTTAATTTTGTTTTTTCTTGTTTAGATTATGGCAATGAAAAGGACAGATGCAATAATGTTACTAATTAAAGTTATTCCCCCTAAAATATCAAAGAAAACTCACGAAAATATCTTCTGATGGATCCAAAAAAAATGAAGATAATAATAAATCATGTCTGGCAGATATTTATACCTTGTGGCCGAAACCAAGTCGATTGGTCTGAAAATATCTCCAACATATATTTCTACCTTTGTCCAAACCAAAATAAACGTGACACCAGCTAGCTAGCTGTTCAATCATACAATTGACACCGCGTGCTTTTTTATTATTATTTTGTTTTCATTCTTTACACACTACTTATTTGAGGAGAAAGTATAATTTTGATATTTGTCGATGACCTTGACGAAATTCATATTTTACAATTCAAAATGCCAACATTGTAGATATTTTTCTCCGGCTTTTCAACTTAATCCAAATTATGTCGGAGTTCATTTATATACCGTAAAGTATATATAATCTAAAAGAAAAAAACAATAATTTTACTATTAACAAAAGAATTAACACTAAAATAGAGTAATTAATTACTTTTTTTTTAATTCAATTGATATAAAATAAGTTGAATCAATTGATTTAAGTCAATCAATTAATATAAAATCAGTTTAGTAAGACTAGTTCAAATTACTTAATTAAATTATATATTAGTTGACTTGAAAGAAGGACAAATGGAGAGGAGGTGAAAGTGATAACTAATTATAACTAATTGACTCAACTGATTTGTAATGATAATTTGACAAATACAAATTAAAAGAGCGGACGAAGAACTTAACTCGAATAAAAATATACATTTTTATAGACGTTAATCAAATCCAAATAAAAGAATATTATGCTCGAGAATACAAAGCCCTATTTTGACAAATTTTTAAGTGCAGGCAAAAGAGAATCGCGCAGACCGGCTCGCAGACGCTGCTTACGACCACCCGAATACTAAGTGTTAGAATTTATTTCGTACATATATAAATTATTTGTGTCAGATTCAGTTTTTCGTTACTGTTGCGTGAAGTGTTGCAACAGTTCGTGAAGCAGTTCGTAAAAACAGAAATAAACGAGACACAAGTTTTAATGTGGTTCGGATACAACTGTACCCTACATCCACGGGGACCTGCAAATAAAATTTACTAATTTTTAGTTTTACGAATACAATAATAGGACTTAATCAAAATACAAAGACTCCCTCTTTGTTGACGCCGTTCTTGTATACTACGCTGAATTATAAATCTTCAATTTGCAGCACGTCCCTTGCTCCGCACGGTTGAACTCCCTTCAACGCTGAATCCCTCTGTCGGCGGATCGATCTCCTCCCGAGATCTGTTTAAGCCCCTCTCCCGAAGAACCGATCTTCTTTTTATATAGAAGAAGCAAACTTGTGATACTTCTTGAATCTTGGTGTCTTCACCACAAAGCCTTGAAGCCGATATATTTTCTATGAAAATCACGTATCACGATGGAACAATAAAAAAAACGAGAGGAAAAATATTTTATGTGAAAAACTTCTCTCGATCAAAGACGTTCCGGGAGCAGCGAAAATAAGAGCAGAAAAATATAATTTTTCTTCTCCAACAAACGGCGTGCAACAGCAACAAAGAAATGAGAGATCTGTTTCTCTCCGAAAAGACGCACACTCGAAACGCCGTGCTGTGCTGCTATTTATATTCTATGTTGAATAAAAGAGCCCTACAAAAGATTAAAGCCCATTAGGTTGATAATCAATCTTTACGTGATGAAATAAGAGATTGTGTAATAAAGAAAGTCTTTGTCAAAGAAAGTCTTTGTTAGCACATGACTTATACAATTAAATAATTAATGACAAAATAAGAGTTTAAAGCATTAAGGAAACTTCCCTAACTTTAGACACACGTTTTTCACATACGTGCTGAAAAACCAAAATCAGAATCCTCTCGGATTCTAACAATCTCCCCCTTTGTCATCTATTTATTATAATCAAGTCCTCCCCCTTCGTCAAATACCTGAAAATAAAACAATGAGATGATTAGACGGAAGCAAATAAAACTAAGTACCATCCTCAGCATTAAAGGAACAACTCATCATCATTATCTCTTTCAGCAACAAGAGTGGCATGAACTGCTGTAGCAGTAAGTGCCACAGTTAGAGCAACTGTTCCCACAGTAGTGGCTTCGGCAGGTTGTTCACAATGGAGTCAGCTCCCCCTGCATGTGTTTCTCCCCTTGCAAATGATCCTTAGGCAGCTCCCTTGTACATGACTTCATTCTTCCCCTTTGCTTACATGGCTTTGTAGACTTGGAGGGCGACGTGGTATATCATCCACGTGATAAAAGACTCAGCAAATAACGTCAGCATTAGCTCCTCCTTTTATATTCTTGTGAAGACCTAAACCAATTAATGACAATAAACACAATATTAAAAATGTGAATTTTCTTCTATTTTTGGAGATACACGTTCAGGAGATTAATATGGAGAGATAATTTTATTTCTTCTCAAATTATCTAATGAGATAACTAAGTAAAATATGTTCCTCATATTAATACACATCTCCATAGAATTCCA